CATAAGCATTGCTGCAGGCGACATTCAAAGCTGGCAATACGGGCAGCAGCTGAAAATGCAGAATACAGTCGACATGAAAGGCTGGCAGTACACTGAGTGAGGTAAAGAAACAGGCAACAGATTATAGACTGGCATACACTCATAATGGTAAAAAGGAAAATTAGCAGTGTAGATCATCGAATGTCAGAATGTCAGTGCACTGACATTAATTAATCAGCAGGCAGCAGGCTACATCACAGACTGGCAGTAGACCATCCCAGCGTCATAAAAGCACAGCTAAAAAAGGGAATATTTAGCAACCTAATAATGAAAAATTAGTTTTGTGCACACAAACATTGTAATATCTGCGAACGTATTTGTTTAATAGTAAACATTAATACTACAATAATGCTATGTAAGTGCTGTAATAATATTAATATCAACGGACTTTATAGCAGTAACTGCACGCATCGTGTTGGGGGGGGTGGGGGCGAAGAGGACATCACACTGAAGAAATAGCCGCAGCGTTATGTGTATATTTATTGCATGTTAAACGTGTAAAAGAGAATGTTCCCCGTGAGCTCGACCAAACGCGCATCACTTGGCAGTGTGGCAACTCACGCGCACCTAATTGGCGTGAGTTGGTACGGCCGGTAGCACGCATTAAATAAATAAATATATCGACATCCCACGAAATCTATAATTTTACTAATTTAAAGGTGATGGACGTGAAAAAGGAATAGCCTATTCCCACCGCAGGGCTTAGGGCGTGCTGGCTGTCAAATTTTTTTGGATGTCAACCCTACTCTTCGAGTGCCAAATTCCTCTCAAGTGCACGTGGAGACTTTTATATATAAGACTAGCGAGAAGTACCCGGCCACCGTAAGGGTGAACAATCGGGTCTTAATTGATTGTTCACGCTTACGGTGGCTTTCAGACCGCATCCATCATTTTCGTCTCCCCCCTCCTCTTTTTCCGAACATAGATGGACTCGTCCATCTGAATAACTGCCAAATCGCTCTCCGTGGTGCTAACGTTAAAAAAACGCAACTTTTTTCAAATTTTCTTGCTGTGGTTTTCACACCTGATGATGATTGCTTGTGTTGTAGTCGAAACATCGTGATAATTGTATTGTTTTATATTTTTCTTATTTTATTGTTTCCCTTCTACGTGACTTTACCAAAAGAACAAAGAATATGAATCCCTGCAGTCACGAAAGCTTTAAATACATATTAAAGAAGCTTACAAAAGTCTAAAAAGTTATAGAAAGTGCGTGGTAAATAGTTGCTCTCAAAGGTTTCCGACAATTGTCGACCCACCCCCTCAAAAATATATTCATCCCCGCGTAGGTATATATACCTACACACACTACATACAATAGAGTAAGTAGTATCTATTGACTCTGCAGTTGTATCTACTGACTGTACAGTAGTACTACTGAGCCAGTAGTCGCTAATGACTGTATAGTATCTTCTTTGGTTCTTTCGGTAAAGTCACGTAGAATGAGAATATTATTGTGTTATTTTATTTTATCAATTTATTATTTTATTCTCATTCTACGTGACTTTACCGAAAGAACCAAAGAAGATTAATCATTGCAGTCACGAAAGCTTTAAATCGAAACTGTATAGTAGTATTTTACTGACTTTAGTAATGACTGACCGTAGGAGTATCTACTGGCCCTACAGTAGTCTCTACCGACTCTATAGTAGTAAAGACTAACTCTATAGTAGTATTTGCTGACTCTATAGTAGTATCCACTGGCTATAGTAGTAACTACTAACTCTATAGCAGTAGCTACTGACCATAGTAGTATTTACTGACTGTGTAGTAGTATTTGCTGACTGTAGCAGTATTTACTGGCCGTAGTGGTATATACAAACTGTTTTAGTATCTTCTAACTCTATATAGCAGTATCTACCAACTCGATAGCAGTATCTACTATCACTACAGCAGTGCATACTGCTGTGGTGGTACCTGCTATGATTACAGCAGTGCATACTGACTGGTGGTTCCTGCTATGATTACAGCAGTGCATATTGTGGTGGTACCTGCTATGATTACAGCAGTGCATACTATTGTGGTGGTACCTGCTATGATTACAGCAGTGAAAATTGTGGTGGTACCTGCTATGATCACAACAGTGCATACTGCTGTGGTGGTACCTGCTATGATTGGAGCAGTGCATACTGTGGTTGTACCTGCTATGATTACAACAGTACATGCTGACTGTGTTGGTACCTGCTATTATTATAGCAGTGTATACTGAGTGTGGTGGTTCCTGCTATGATTACAGCAGTACATACTGCTGTGGTGGTTCCTGCTATGATTACAGCAGTTCATATTGTGGTGGCGGTACCTGCTATGATTACAGCAGTGCAAATTGTGGTGGTGGTACCTGCTATGATTACAGCAGTGCATACTGTGGTGGTACCTGCTATGATTACAGCAGTGCATACTGTGGTGGTGGTACCTGCTATGATTACAGCAGTGCATATTGTGGTGGTACCTGCTATGATTACAGCAGTGCATATTGTGGTGGTGGTACCTGCTATGATTACAGCAGTGCATACTGTGGTGGTACCTGCTATGATTACAGCAGTGCACACTGTGGTGGTGGTACCTGCTATGATTACAGCAGTGCATATTGTGGTGGTGGTACCTGCTATGATTACAGCAGTGCATACTGTGGTGGTGGTACCTGCTATGATTACAGCAGTGCATACTGTGGTGGTACCTGCTATGATTACAGCAGTGCATATTGTGGTGGTGGTACCTGCTATGATTACAGCAGTGCATATTGTGGTGGTGGTACCTGCTATGATTACAGCAGTGCATATTGTGGTGGTGGTACCTGCTATGATAACAGCAGTGCATACTGATTGTGGTGGTACCTGCTATGATTACAGTAGTGCATATTGTGGTGGTGGTACCTGCTATGATTACAGCAGTGCATACTGTGGTGGTACCTGCTATGATTACAGCAGTGCATATTGTGGTGGTGGTACCTGCTATGATTACAGCAGTGCATATTGTGGTGGTGGTACCTGCTATGATTACAGAAGTGCATACTGCTGTGGTGGTACCTGCTATGATTGGAGCAGTGCATACTGTGGTGGTACCTGCTATGATTACAACAGTACATGCTGACTGTGGTGGTACCTGCTATTATTAGAGCAGTGCATACTGAGTGTGGTGGTACCTGCTATGATTACAGCAGTACATAACTGTGGTGATGGTGCCTGCTATGATTACAGTAGTGCATATTGTGGTGGTACCTGCTATGATAACAGCAGTGCATACTGATTGTGGTGGAACCTGCTATAATTACAGCAGTGCATATTGTGGTGGTACCTGCTATGATTACAGCAGTGCATATTGTGCTTGTACCTGCTATCACTACAGTAGTACATGCTGGCGCTATGTATCTTATATCTAAAAAGTAAATTTGTGAATGTGTGTCTGTTCGAAATGTTAAGCATACTTTGCGACATGCAACAAAGTTATATTAAATGGGAATAGGTCGATTCTAAAGTAATCTACAACCTTCAATTCCTTTGCGGGATTTAAAGAATCGATTCTTGGCACGCTTGGGTAAAATTTTTAATTAATGAGTTTTCTTTTCATTTGTATGTTATGTTTTTAAGTTTTCAGACGTTTTTAAATCTATTTTTGCCCCGGGCAATGCTGCGTATTTCCCGCGAGGAGCAGCATATATCGACTCTATAGCTACAATAATCCTGTATAAACGCTATATTTTTAGTATCTACCGACCCTATAATAGTAAGTGCACACATTGGGGTTGGGGGGGGGGGAGAGAAGAGGACGTGGCACTTTTATGAATTTACCTCAGCGTTGCGTGTATTTTTTTTGCATTAGAAATCAAACGCGGTAAGAATCGTTCGTCCTCCATGTTTTGTAACATCGCATCACAAAATTCTACTCGCTTTCCTTTGTCACCTGCACGAAGAGCCTGTACCATTTGCAACCGGTATGGCCTCATGATTAAGCGTTGCCTCAACACACGCCAGACAGTCGCATGACAAGTCGCAAGTTCTCGGCTGGCACGGCGAGTCGACTTGCGCGGGCTAGGCAAAAAACTCTCTTGAATTCTTCTCACAGTTTCCTCTGAGGTGCGTGGTCGCCCTGTGTTCTCCCCCTTACATAAACAGCCTGTTTCCTCAAATTGTCGGTACCAACGACGAATGCTCCTTGACATTGGCGGATCAATGCCAAAATGCCGTTGAAACGCACGCTGCACCGCAATTACGGATTCAGTCTGCTGAACTGCAGAACGCAAAACGCCTTGTGTTGCGGGGTCGCCATCTTGCGAATGACTGAGGCTCGGGGCTGTTTGTGCGCTAGGAGAGGCATCTAGCGTTATTGATTTGAAATTCTATGCCCGCCCTTTCAAGTGGTAAGAGTTTCATTCATGGGCGGTTCGTGGTTGCAGAGATATAGCGATTTCAAATCCGATCAATCTTTTTGAAACACCCTGTATATTAACTATTGAACATGGAGGTTAAATGAAAACAATAGTTTATATTAGTTTTCGTCTGGGACTTTTATATAAGAATGGAAACAGTCAGGAAAATATCTCAGCACATATGCAGCTGAAGTTAGATCTGTTCATTCGAGCATTCAAGCAAATCTGAGCCTGGCTTCACACCTCGAAGTTTCGATTGAACATTAATTTATGCATATCTGCATAATACAAATAGTATTATTTTCACTACTCTCTGCTATGTTAGCTGAATTTTTCTTCAATACATATAAATTTTCCTTTCGTAGCTAGACAGCCGAAATTGTGTCCTTGGAGTTTTGGGTAAACATTTATTTTGAAGATACTAGGGCATCCAGGCATATTTATGACCATTGGCCATCAGCCTGTGTGATGAATTGGAGAATACCTTTCACTATATCATGAATATATAAATAAGTATAGACGTGTAAGTCATATGTGACTGTGTTTATATGGTGTGAATATGTTTTTCTAATTGCAGCTGACGCTTCCTCTGCAGAATTGGTCTGATGGAGCAAAGGCACTCAGCGCAGCTCGGTACAAGAAGGAAACGATGCGACCAGGATGTAAACAGCACGGATCGTACTGGAAGTTTGATACAGCGCCAGAGAACTCACACAGGAGAGAACCCCTTCAAGTGCACCGTGTGTGAGAAGGCATTTGCATGGTCATCAGTTCTTCAGAGACACCAGAGAACACACACGGGAGAGAAACCCTTCAAGTGCACTATGTGTGAGAAGGCATTTACAGAGTCATCACATCTTAAAAAACACCAGAGAATGCACACAGGAGAGAAACCTTTCAAGTGCACTGTGTGTGAGAAGGCATTTACAGAGTCATCACATCTTAAAGAACACCAGAGAATGCACACAGGAGAGAAACCCTTCAAGTGCAGTGTGTGTGAGAAGGCATTTGCAAAGTCATCAAATCTTCAGAGCCACAAGAAAACACACACAGGAGAAAAACCCTTCAGGTGCCTTTTGTGCGATAAAGCGTTTGCAAAGTTATCAGATCTTCAAAAACACCAGAGAACACACACAGGAGAGAAACCCTTCAAGTGCAGTGTGTGTGAGAAGGCATTTGCACAGTCATCGGTTCTTCAGAGCCACCAGAGAACACACACAGAAGAGAAACCCTTCAAGTGCAGTGTGTGTGAGAAGGCATTTGCACAATCATCAAATCTTCAGAGCCACAAGAGAACACACACAGGAGAAAAACCCTTCAAGTGCACTATGTGTGAGAAGGCATTTACAGAGTCATCGCATCTTAAAGAACACCAGAGAATGCACACAGGAGATAAACCCTTCAAGTGCAGTGTGTGCGAGAAGGCATTTGCAACGTCATCAGTTCTTCAGAGACACCAGAGAACACACACAGGAGAGAAACCCTTCAAGTGCACTATGTGTGAGAAGGCATTTACAGAGTCATCATCTCTTAAAAAACACCAGAGAATGCACACAGGAGAGAAACCCTTCAAGTGCACTGTGTGTGAGAAGGCATTTACAGAGTCATCACATCTTAAAGAACACCAGAGAATGCACACAGGAGAGAAACCCTTCAAGTGCAGTGTCTGTGAGAAGGTATTTGCAAAGTCATCAACTCTTCACAGCCACCAGAGAACACACACTGGAGAGAAACCATTCAGGTGCCTTTTGTGCGATAAAGCGTTTGCAAAGTCATCAGATCTTCGAAACCACCAAAGAACACACACAGGAGAGAAACCCTTCAAGTGCAGTCTGTGTGAGAAGGCATTTGCACAGTCATCGGTTCTTCAGAGCCACCAGAGAACACACAAAGGAGAGAAACCCTTCAAATGCACTATGTGTGAGAAGGCATTTACAGAGGCATCACATCTTAAAAAACACCAGAGAATGCACACAGGAGAGAAACCTTTCAAGTGCACTGTGTGTGAGAAGGCATTTACAGAGTCATCACATCTTAAAGAACACCGGAGAATGCACACAGGAGAGAAACCCTTCAAGTGCAGTGTGTGTGAGAAGGCATTTGCAAAGTCATCAAATCTTCAGAGCCACAAGGGAACACACACAGGAGAAAAACCCTTCAGGTGCCTTTTGTGCGATAAAGCATTTGCAAAGTCATCATATCTTCAAAAACACCAAAGAACACACATAGGAGAGAACCCCTTCAAGTGCCGTGTGTGTGAGAAGGCATTTGCACAGTCATCGGATCTTCAGAGCCACCAGAGAACACACACAGAAGAGAAACCCTTCAAGTGCAGTGTGTGTGAGAAGGCATTTGCACAGTCATCAAATCTTCAGAGGCACAAGACAACACACACAGGAGAAAAACCCTTAAAATGCACTCTGTGCGGGAAGGCGTTTGCACTGTCATCACATCTTCAGAGCCACCAGAGAACACACACAGAAGAGAAACCCTTCAAGTGCAGTGTGTGTGAGAAGGCATTTGCAAAGTCATCGCTTCTTAAGATACACGAGCGAACACACACAGGAGAAAAACCCTTCAAGTGCACTATGTGTGAGAAGGCATTTGCAGAGTCATCATCTCTTAAAAAACACCAGAGAATGCACACAGGAGAGAAACCCTTCAAGTGCAGTGTGTGTGGGAAGGCATTTTCAAGGTCATCTGATCTTAAAAGACACCAGACACCACACACAGGAGATAAACCCTTCAAGTACACTCTGTGCAGGAAGGCGTTTGCACAGTCACCACAGCTTCATCGAGACCAGAGGACACACAGTCATCAGAAGATCCCCAAGGAGCGGAGTCTGAAATCGGCATGTGAAAGTCCAAGTGCTGCAATGAGCCCATCCCTGCTGAAAAAAGAACCAGAATTTAATTCCAGCTTGGATGCAATGAAATGTATCAAGGTGAATTTTGAAGAGGCGAAGGTGAAATATGAAGAAGTGATGGTGAAGAGTGAAGAAGTGAAGGTGAAATGTGAAGAAGTGATGAAGAGCGAAGAAGTGATGGTAAAATGTGAAGATGAAGATTCAACTCCAAAATTGGACCTTCACATCGATGTAGGCAACGTGAAGCAGGAGGAGAATTCTGACTGTGAGGCAGAGCGAGGCAACTCCCAGCAGTTTGTGCAAGTAGAGGTGTGGGTGGACTTCTTAGACAATACAAAATCAAATAGAGACCTGGTAGATGTATAAGCTTGAGACAATGAAGCTCCAATAGATGCACCTTTGTCACAGACCTTTAATTAAAATAACGTGAAGTTGAACACTCAATTCCTAGGTTCAACCTGCAGAGTAAGAGCAGCCAGTATTTGCGGTCCTGTGGGTTGGGTAGACCTCTACCCAGGAGTGAGAGCCAATAAGCTCCCAAGCATTCACTCTGTTATGATAATAATATTTGCGTGGTGCTTAATTGCCCATGATAGAGTTTTTTTGGGTTATATCGCATTAATTTAAATGTTTGGTGGAACCCGCCACCACGTGATTTGTTCTCCAACACACCGGTGTGCTGTACCAGTGTAGTGTTGTTCAGCAACGGCAACTGCGGTGGACAAATAGTACACGCGCCAGTGAGCATATATGTGTCGGCAGGGCAGAATGATCGGGGCAAGGGTCACCGAAGACCCCATCTGAAAGCCCCTGGAACCTGCTAGTGGGTTCGAGAAGGTGGCATGGCCAGGGCGGAGCCAGGCCGCGCTGGGTTGCATAAAAGCAGCTGAGAGTGGGAGCTCAGGGCTGTCGGTTTTGGGAGGGGGCTTGTCTCGTCGTCGCTGTCATCTTCGCCGCCTTCATCAATGCCGTCTTCGCTAGATATTGCGCGGCAGGATAGTTGTTGGCTGTCTCGGTTAGCGCCATCGGTGTTACATGATTAGGATTGTGTTTATGCTAGGTTAGACAACTAGGGAGTGCGATGGTGAACCTGTGAAGGCGTTAATAAAGGTGCCCCTTTAGAAACCTTGTCTCCCACTACGATGACACTACAACTGGTGTTAGGAGTGGGGTGAAGAAAGAACCCACCTATAGTGTCATCGGAGGATGGGAGCGGCGAAACATGAATTTGTCCGGCAGCCCCGGGACCCTGTTTACAAAGCCCATTGCCTGAGAGAGAGCTGCTGCGGGTCGGTCGGGAGAGCGGCGGCGAATTGGCGAGAGAGGAGCCCAATCCTCCGCGGTCACGCGCCGAGCACGCGGCATGGCCAAGGACCACCGTGCTGAGGGGATCGCAGGGGAGTGCGGGACGGCGTGGGAGGCGCGCCACAGCCAGCGGCGCGGAAAGGAGTCATGAGGGGACCCTGGCGGTGGTCCCCGTCGGTGCGGGAGAGTGGAGGAGCCTCGGCCGGAGTCCGCACATGTGGTGGGCGCCATCTTGCCCGTGGAGGGCTTGGCATGACTGGCGGGTGCCATTTTGCGAAGAGCGCGGTCCCGCGCTGGAGGGGTGGCGGAGTCAATGGCGCTGCAAGGGGAAATTTTTGGCCTACTGTGCGACGCCCGTACGAGACTTTTCCAGCGGAGGCGAGGAGAGGCCAAGACGCCCTTCACTTTCCGGTAGGCTCTGCTGGTGCTGGGGCAGAAGGCGTGTTGGATATATAAGGCTTTTCCAAAATTGATATTAATAATATTTGCTTATAGATATGTTTTTTTGTTTTAATAAATAAAGAAACACGTAAGGCGCACAAGAAGCCAGATGTCGATCATAAACAGGCCATAAATAAAGAAATAATAAAACTCTCAAGGCGAGGATGTAACAGCTATCTGCGAAGATCTCCAGATGAACAAGAGGTTGATGTGCCCTAAGGAAGGGGGGTCTCTCAGGGGTCAGATCCGCCAAGCCAGACACGTTGACGCCAACGGGTTAAACCATATATTTTTCTTATTTGCTATTGAAACAACGGTTAAAAGTTAAAAGGGCAACAACAAGAATAAGCTAAAGTTAGCGGTCCTCACGCTCACTCCAATTAAGACCAGGCCACCAGATACATCGGTGAATTTTTATCCAATTATTCGCTGTCAAATGATTTTCACCTTTAATACTTTTACTGTTAAATCACAAGCTTGGGTACAGAAATACCGAGTCACGTCAAAGGTTTTCGAGAAGGAATGATGCGAACGGGCAAACTTACGAAACAAGTTTAAAACAATATCCCAAGAAACCCCGACCACCTTTGTCTCTCTCACAGCGCGGAGAAACAGGAATTACACCTCATCACAAGGACCAATCTGGAGCGAGCAGACGGGTTTAATGAGAAGACACACCCCACCCCACACCCAACAGCCCGCGAACACGCTTTAAGTTAAAGAAACTGCAATACAAATCACACATACCATCAATAATAACGCGTTAACCTTAAACGATATTCCATTATAGAACCTTACAGAACCAAGGAATAGGTCACAGACAATCAAGAAACGGACCTTTAAACTTAGGATAAAAATTATTTTAAATAACTCCATCATAACAATGCGAATCTTTGTAACCCGAGAGGTGCGTCGGGAGGAAAGAGTTACAAACCACGAGCCTTGGTGAACATAAGGAAATGATACTTGAGAAACATTAAACCGAAAGCAGCCAGAGATAGAGGCACTCCCGGCCGCCTTTGTATCTACTGCAGGGCGCGAGGAAGGAATTTCACGCCAGAGCAAAAAGATCGTTATCGCAAAGGCCATCTGCACACCGACGCAGGCTTAATAATGGCCCCACCCCACAACCACGCCAGCGTAAACCAGGCGAACAAGTTAAGTTAAAAGAAAATCGCAATACATCTATATGGTGATAAGACACACAATGACGAAAATTAATAAACTAAGTAAGAGCCAAGATAACGGGGTGGATCAAACTGGTTGAATATAAAATCGAAATGATATTTGAGTGATGTTAACTCAAGTTATAGAGAGATAGGAAAGATCCCGGCCGCCTTTGTCTCTCCCCGCAGCACGTGATGAGACACAGAATGACGAAAATAAATAAACTAAGTAAGAGCCAAGGTAATGGGGGATCAAACTGGTTGAATATAAAATCGAAATGATACTTGAGCGATGTCAACTCAAAGTATAGATAGAAAGATCCTGGCCACCTATGTCTCTCCCCGCAGCACGTGATAAAAAAAAATGCAGACGCTCGGTAGAGCATCTTCACTTGGAAATAAAATCAAATACCCCGAATCACAAACAGACTCATATATGTGTATGGTACGATACGCTGTCAGATAAGAAATGTTAAACTTTAAAAACTAACCATTTCTTTGTGCGTCGGAAACGTGTACAAAAGGGGGGGGGGGGGAACCCGCCCTCCCTCCCTCTGGATGGACAGGGTAGACAGACAGACGCCTTCAAGATGAATCGAAGCGTCTGTTTCCCTTGATGGTTTATGGCTTGAGGAAGACCAGAACAGAACCATGTCATGAATGACACACACACAGACATACCCACTGACACACGAACCCCCACCACCGACACACAACCAGATCAAAAGGTAGCTCCGCCTCGTGAGGAGGAGCTAAGAGGAGAGATTTTTAGCATAAAAATGAGCCGTTTCAGCATTAAAAAACTCATCAGCCGCGGGGCCAGCTCAACAGAAGAAGACTCGTCTCAACTCATCTCAGCAGAAGACCAGCCACCACCGACGCCGGAGACGCCTCTACAAACTCGCCAAATTGGCGAGTGTCGCCGATTGGCGACACGCTGCCCACTGCAGGGCCAGCGCAACCACGAACGAATCATGAGCCTGCAATCTACAACCGCGCCGACACCAGCGTGCCAGCTGCTCGTAGACGTACTGCGAGTGAAGGGACGAGACTGTCTGGTAGGACAGCGCTGTCCTACCAGACAGTCTCGTCCCTTCACCTGATGAAGGCCGCTTGTGTTGTGACCGAAACGTCGTGAGAATATTATTGTGTTATTTTATTGTATCAATTTATTATTTTATTCTCATTCTACGTGACTTTACCGAAAGAACCAAAGAAGATGAATCATTGCAGTCACGAAAGCTTTAAATCGAAAAATACAACAACGTATCAACCTGTCCACTCGTCAACCGATGTCAGCCGAGTCCGAACCAACTACTGAAAGGAGAATCAACTGATACGTATGATACACTGCCCCCCCACTACACGACAAACTAGACGTCTGCTTGATGCAAAGAATCGATTCCGAACATTGGCCTACTCTTTCATCATTCATATCACTAAACACACATGGGTCATTAACAAAAGCCTAGAACCTCAAGTCATTAAACCATCCGTGACTGTGAGAACATCGCAACGACCGAGTGAACAATCCGTCGTTTATAAGAGTGTTCATAATTTCCTCGTTAATATTTTGTTGGGGCTGTACTTCTAATCGCATAAGTTACCAACTTATCCATCAATACGGATTAATTCTCGGCACCTTCAACGGAGCGCCACCCACGGGGGTGGATAGCGTGTTCAACCGGTTTCCCTGTCAGGGATCAGGACACAATTAAAAGATTGGTCCAAGATAAGAATCTCAAAGGAAAACGTTGTGGGAATACTGTCACTTGGGAGTATTTGAACATACCGAAATCCATGAACACATATTTGTGCCTTTAGGAATAATAACGGTTTGAGTGTCTTTTCATGTCATTGAGTTGCATAATAATCAATTGTCCTACTGGTTAACAACGTGACAAGAATGTGCATTAAGGGTCGTGTATGATCAATGACCGAGTGTCATGTTGGTAACAATTCAAGTATACGAATTTACATATGATAGAGTC